TTATTTATTAAAATTATTTTTTTTCTTCATGTATTTTGTCATATTTTAATTTCAATCGTAAAGCGAAATTGAATCTCGAGCTTAAAATAACTTCAAATTACTTCAAGAAAGTCCAAATATAAATTTTTTATTTTTATTTTAATTATTGAAATTTAATTCCTAGTATTCAAAATCACAAAAACATTTCAAAAAATTTTCCTAACTTCTTTTTCAATCATACTGATCTTTACGATAAGAAGATAATCGATATTATTTATTTTGTCTCTATATGTATACGCTTTCTCGTATTTTAATCTACAATCGTGAAACAAGATCGAATCTAATCTGAAGATTAGAATAACGCTGAAATCAGAGTGATTAAAATTTAGGCTTACCTTTCCACGAAGCGCAATTGAATTTAACCCTAAAAAAAAAAAAAAAAAAAAATTTAAACGAACGCGCGAGCTTACAATCGAGAACACAAAGATTATCACAGACAAACCCCACGTATTTCTTTTTTTTTTTCTTATCCTAACAACAGCAATTGTGTACACAACGTCGAAGCTTTGCTCCACTCGTTCCTCGTGCACGAAGACACTCTCAGCGCATCGACGCGACGCAACGTCTCGCGCAGTCGTCGTCGTGACGCTCCGCCGCGAGATCCGCGAGGGGAAGGAAGAGCACCGAGCACGGGGTCCGATGGGTAAGATCCCGCCACCGGGGAGATACCACCGAGACACCAGCCGCGATGCGATCCCAGCAACAAGTGATTCCGCAGTAATCGCGATCGCGATCGTACTGTTTAAACGGAAGTAAAGCGGCTCGTATATCTCCCCGTATCTTTTCGGCGCGAGCCGAGCTGATAAATTCCGTCCAGTGATTTCGCCTATCCCTACCTATTTTCGCGAGCCCGCAATATGTCGGGCACGAGCGGCCGCCGGCGCACCGGTGATTGTGGCATCCGCTGGTCCACCGCGACGCTGGACACCGTTCACGTCCGTCACGACTCTCTCTCGCGGCGGACCACCGGCGCGGGGAAGCGCGCACTGACCGAGTATCCGAGAGCGCGTCTCACCCTGTCCCTCGCCGTCGTCGTCATCGGCGGCGGCGGCGGCGGTGGAGCGGCAGCGGAGGCGGTCCCGCGAGGGACGATGCGATACGCGTGCGTCCCTCGATGTGTCACTTCCTTATCGCTGGTAGCAAAAGCTCGCACACGCGCGGTAGCTTTCGAACGCGGAGCTTTTAAATACAGTTGAGTTTTCCGACGCGCGCGGCGGTCAGACTTGAAGCTTCGCAGAAAAAAATCTCCAGGTTTGAAGAAGCTCTGAGGGTGAAATCATCGAGTTTGAAATCGTTCATTGCGAAACTTTCTCGAGGCTTTCTTCTTCTTGTTTTAACGTTTAACTTTCAAATTACACTCCAGCTTTTCTCTCGAGCTTTTCAAACATAATTTTCTCGATCTTGAATTTATGCTCTCTGCGGTAAAAACGTATACTTTACTGAAACAAGAAACCCAATATTGCCTATCCATTAACAATCTACGCACTGTCGTCATCGATAAAAAAAGCACACGCATATATGCACACACATATTTCGTCTAGGACGCTATTGATGTATATGGTCACTTCTTAGCGATCATATCAGTTTTTCTTGATCTACATATCTCCTCCAATTCACAATCGACATCGGATTAAATTTCGGTGAATTACAATGTTCGTTTTAAAACGAAGTTGTATAGAGATAACCCGAGATAACATGTGTTGCTTTCGTGGCTTTACGGCAAACTACATGGCCGAAATTGAGCATGATGGAAGTTTAATGTATATCTATGTGTGTGTTCTGTATACATAACCATATTAACGTTATGACGTATTACGATATGAATGATATACTGCACTTAGAATGATGTTATCGTTAGGGGACAAATTGAGCACAATACGAGTGTTACAAGACGATCTGACGGCAATACCAAAAAATATAATACATGCTGAAATATATATTTTTTTAGGAACGTTCGCAAACTCTTGGAAGAAATCGTAAAGGAAATCTAATTTTCAACAGAAAAATTGTGACATGGCTGGAATTTGCAACTGCATTTTTACTATTAAAACATTTTAATATTGCACGAACAGATTGTAAAAAGTATAAATTGTAAATATAAATCGCTATATAATTTGTAAAAAATATGTCATATAATGTTAAATATATAATATTTGTAAAAAATATAAATAATATAAATAAGAGAGCATTTTCCAGTATTTCAATTAAAGATTAAAGTTGGTATTTTTAGTAGCACATAAAATGTACTGCTAAAATATACTTGTTTTAATTACATTGCGAAAAAAGTGTACTGCATAAAATACTTTGCGTTGCATCGGTTAAATCAGACTTCAAAATTCCCAAGATTCCATCCACCGTAAAGAGTGCATCAAACTGTCGGGATCCATGGCGGACGGACCGTCCATCCCGTAAGCCAATGGCGAAAAAAGATAAAAACTGCAATTTAATAAAAAAAATTAATAAATATATCTTTGAATAATATTTATTTTTAATAGTTTTTTATGAAAAAATTCAGATCCAATTGAATAATTTTAATTTCCAAAAATACATATTACATAGAATTATTTTGTTGTAAGATTAGAATTTGAGTGACAGGCAATCTTTACCTGTACGTGATGCCAGAGATTACAGTTCCCAGAGTTACATGATAAATTGTATTTCCCACTTTGCCAGGAAATAGTAACAAGAGATTCTCGATAATGTGATTCAATGTAATTCCGGTTAGCATGGAACTGTATAGCAATGCCGGGAAATAATGATGGAAGTAAAGTACCCTAGTCATCGCCCAGAACGGCACGTAATGTAGAATCCATCCGAGAAAAAGCCACTTGCCGGCATGCGTTATCTTATTTCGCTGCTCGAGCACAATGGCATCGTCGTCGCAGCCACGTTGTTCGCGCACGGAAGCGTACACATAAAGAATTATAAATATTATAAGGAAGACTATATTGCCCCACCAAATGATGGGATTACCGAGTAGATATATTCTTTGATTGTTTCCGGAGAAAAATTGTCCCTGCAGAGAAAGAAATTTCTTTCATGACTCATCCCATAAATCGACGGTATTATGTTAACAAGGGATTTTGTACAAATCGATAGTCTACCCTGTAATTTATTGGCCATTGCCACGGTCGCGAGGACACTTCTCCTTCCTTCACTTTTAGATCCGAGTTGCCTTGCAGCATCACAGCATGTGATTCTAGGAATCTGTCGAGGAATCCGGGCGCGTATACCCGGAAGCTGACATTTGGCACTAATAAAAAAGGAAAGTACTATACATCGTTTTCAATTGCTGATAATAAATTCGAAAACTTATATCGCTCGCTTACATTTGGTGTATTGATTGTCTTCTATATTCCATAATGCGTTTTTATCTCTCATGTTGGGATTGCAAGAAACTTCTTGTTGACTGTATCCCCTGCGCAAATTGAAAATTGATCGTATAACAGAAAGTTAATTTCAAACTGAGAATGCAACGAAAGAATAAAAGTAAAATTCACGTGATTTCTATTGATACCATTTCGGCAGCGTTTTTCCACTACACGTTAATACGCAATGATGAAGGTAGTGTACGAATTTTAATTTACTCGTCACCGTCTCCACTACATCGCCGTCTCTTCCGTTCGTTATTAATATTTTCCAGACATCGTTAGCGTCGCCTGTACCATTCTGAAAAAGAAAGATATTTCATGAAGGAATGCGAGCAACGTCCAGAATCACTTTACCTTTCCGTTGGAATCACCTTACCTCTCCATATCCAGTAACTTGGTAATGTTTTTTCGATATCGGCGCGATCTCCTTATGCGAGTGTAAATTTCGTCTTGTGATAACATGCTCTAAACGTATAAGATCACCGTATTTAACCAATTCCGGCTCCGATGGTATCACGTCCGTATCGAATTTCTTCACAAGCCACAGATTATTATCGTCCTTGTGGGAATAAGTCGTGATCTGTAATCAGACATATTAATTAGCGACACCAAAAAGTTTTGTTTCACTTATGTTAATTTTTAAAACCAACGTAGATTAACTTTGATCTCAGTTTAGTTTTTCCTTTTTACCTCTTTCTAGTTCTAGAGAAAGATAATGAGTAAATTAAACTAAGATTGAAGTTAATTTGCATTGACATAAATGGATATTACATATTATTAATGCACATCCACTTATTCTATTGTTATTTTCTGATTTCTTCTTGATTAAAATAAGATATTGTTTATTTTAATAATAGTTTAATAATAGTTAACATAAATTTATCAAGCATTTATTTTACATTTATTTTATATTTTTATATATATTTTGTATTCTTTATGTTTATGCTTTATAATTAAAATATCTATATGTATAACAACCTGTTGCTGTCTAGCGCCGACTCCCTCGGGATACAAATGCCAGTGGGAATGTAAGTAACCGCCACCTGTGCGATGATTTTTTAACGTAATGGTGGCACCATATGCTAATTGCCGTGGCATCGTCGCGTTATATAACGAATTCCCGCGTAATAGCGATTGAAATTCGGAACTGTAGAAGCCATCGCCACTTCCGCTAAATAAAACACCGTCCATTTGTAAATCAATCGTTAACACTTCAACCATGTATTTGTAATTTATATGTGTTATACAGGGTGTTCTAAGAAATAGGGAAAAATTGATGCCGAGTTTATGAAAATATTCGACATTAATAAAAATGCAATCGCAAGACAGAACACCCTATATATTGACGCAATAATTCTTACCTTTTATTCAAAACGGAAAGATGAATATAAAAAAATAGCATGTAAAGTAAAACCGGTAATAGGATGAGACAAAAGCATCTTGCTAACAAATGTTTCCCCACATAAGACTGCAAAAAGCAAAATCGAAATTGTTCTTTGGAAACTTAATCTACTCTATTTCTTACTATTAAATAGCATCACACATCAGCAAAATCATATTTTAATTAGCTCATCAAGCATCAACATTAATGCCAGTTAACAAGAACACAAAGCGATACATTACTGATGATGTTAAAAGCCTTACATCGAATTTTTATTGTAATATACTTACAATAGGCTTGGACAGATCGCCCAGTTCTCGCCAAAGTTCATACGCAGTGTAAAGCCCTACGAGCAGGACGACAAAGAGTCCGACAAATTTCACGCCGATCGTGCACGCAAGCGAAGCTCCAGTGAACGACAACCACAACCACCAGGATCTCGTGAACGGCTGAGCCTGGAGTGACGCTACACGTACCATGCCCCACGTTGCACACATCATAAAACACAACAATATGGGATCCAGGAGGATATATTGATTTAACGTTAACAGCCCTACATCTGCGACAGAAGAACAAATTATTACATTAATCCTTAATTATTACTTAATATTATTTATATCTTAAGAATGTAATTTTTACCACACAAGATGAGAGAGGCAGCAAGCGCGGAAGCACGAATTGATTTGGTAAGATCCCATACAGTAAGGTACGATAAAGGAACAGTGGTTGCACCCAGAAATGTACAAAACTAAAATAAGAAATGTTTTTTATAAAATTTTTAATTCCGCTTTAATATTTTTTTAATTAATTCTATGAATTGTTTGATAGATTGTTTGTTTTATTTTAATTAAAAAAGTGCTCAGTTAACTTACAATTCTCATGCCAATGTAATTAACATTTTCGAATTTATCTCCTGGTTTCTCAAAGGCAAATGTTCCATCATAGCCAGTCATATATCCGGACAGAGCAATGAGCATCTAAAGTAGAAAGATAAAATATTTTTCAGTGTCATAACATTTGTTTTTTCTGTACACAAAAATTTAGATAGAAATTATTTACAAGAAATCTACCTTTCCCAATGGTGGGTGCACATCAAAGAAAAATGTTCTGTTTATGTACCAACTACCCATTTTACCAAAGTGTGTTTCGTCCCAACTAAAACCCAACATTTTTTCTCTTGAACTAATAGAGTATAAATAAGACTGATATAAATTTTTCATCTCTCTTACCATACGTGTTGAGGTTCTGTGACTTTGTAAAATCTGGTAATTAAGGTAAGCACAGTTATACCTCCGAACATAAGCCACCAATCCCTGTACCATAAAAACAGATTGCAATTATATTGTAATTAATTATCTATTTCTCATTAATTTATTATATCAAAGAATAATATTTTAATATTTTTTAATTATTGTTAATAAAGAATATTTTTTAAGAAAGGGCTAAGATATAAGATACAACTTTGAACGTTGTTTAAAATAAAATTGTCTTACCGAAAGGAAAATATTTGATATCTCTCTTAGTTTAATAATTTTCATTCATTCTAATAAGAAACAAATAATTTGTTGAGAAGCAACGAAATCGTGACGTGATTTTAAATATTTTAAATTAAAACATAATATAAAATCAATTTAATTACAATAATTCTGATTAAATTATAATTTTTCGTACATTGTGTTCTTTTCCTTTTCCTTCGCTTCCAGAGTTGCATTTTTTGATTTGCAAGTAATCTCTCGAGTACCGCTAATGCTTTTCATGCTTTGCTCCGTTATTCACTCCGTAAATCGTCAGGAGATATATCGTTTCATTTGTATTAAAACAATCGTGAATAATTAATAACGGACGGCCAAGTGTACGATAGACTAACTTATATTAAAATGACAAACTTGTACATGTCTTGTATGTGTATAAGTACCAAATATCCAATATGCTTTGCTATACAACACGTCAAACGGCTTCTGTCTTCCTTCTCTTTTTTTTCTTTCTTTTGGTAAGTAGGTTAGTTTCCAGGCTGTCCACCACTGATCGCCGATCGATGACGAAGATTCACAAGAGTCAACAAGTGTCTATAAAAAAAAGTGGAATTATCGGAGAAAAAACTCTTATACAGATCTTCGTTTAATTAAATACAAGAATCGTTGAATTCAGTTGACAAGTTTTAATATATAAAGTAATAGATTTTTGAAGTCTGTTTAGGGAATTGTTAGGTCTGATGACACATATGGTTTGTTTTTTGTAGCTAAACTAATGTATTCGCTGTACTTAAAACAAAATAGACATATATTTGAAGTTTGATAAAAGCGAGATAGAAAGTTAGTTTAGTGCAGCACATTGCACAAACAGAAAACAAACTTATGATGAGGGAGAGTTGGCGTCGATAAGTTAGAAGATGATAATTTAATGATAATTTAAAACTGTATATATACCATACTCTCCGCTTTTATAATAATTAAAATATAATTAAAATATAATTAATTAAAAACACAAATTGTTTTCCTTTTAATTTAAAATAGATGATAGCTTGTGATTTAAGAAATTATACTTTTTTCATTCCTTTTATGTGGATTGAAATTCAAATATCAAAAAATTAATTCGAAATTAAAAGAACAGGAGCGACGATTTTCCTTCTCCGAATATTTTCTACGCGTGAAAATGCACAAATTATAGAATTTACAAAATTACAGAAAAATCAGAGAGGCAGAGCATTAGATTTATCTAATAAACTAATAAATTAATATTACATTGTAGGCTAATTGTTTAAAATTTTAACAGTCATAACGTTGACCACGCGACTCCCGTAAGATCGTCGGTATTTAAGTGTCTCGTCGGTGATGCACGACATGTCACGTGCGTCACGTCACGTGCGCGAAAATGCGGACCATGGATCCACAAATAGAATGGAGGTTACGGGAGGAAATGGGACATCTACAATGTCGAAAGAAAAGGGTCGTTTCCCCTTTTTTTCCTCGTCAGAGCGAACATTTATAGACACGGTCACGGGCGAGTTGTCATTGTGTCTCTCGTCCACGCTGTCACGTGGACGGAATTTTTTCATCGAGAATTTCCTAAATCTGACACTGCCTTATTGGATTACCTTTTTATCTCGAACGTTGTAAAATTTATATTTTTCGTATTGATGGAATCTTTGATGACCTATTGACGACTACGGAATATTAATTAAAACATGTCTTTTTTTAATAGTATAAGCTAACCTGTTTAAAAAAATCCTTTCCTAGTTTAAAAAAAAAAACTAAAAGCATTCTTGCAGCTGTTATTCACATTATTTATACTGTCATAGAGTAAATTAAGCACTGTATATTGTAGATAAAAATTTGAGATAAAAACAAGATAAAAAAGCAATCCACCAAAAGAACTCACTAAAAGAAACTCCAACGGATGATGTAGGAATTTTTTTAACATCCAAAACATTTAATTCTTTAATTAATATGCTGTTCCTAAACCCTAAGATGACCTGGATGGCTACGGAAACGATGATGCTCGCCAAGAAACGCGAAACGCAGGGATCCCGAGAAATCCGAGAAGACGAAAACAAAAACCTAAACACGCAGATGAGAGAGGCGCGGTTGCGCGCCTCGTTATGGACGTCGCAATCGCAGTCAGTCGCGTTATGCGGCATAACGCGGTGGGGATAAAACCCGAAATATCATCCCGAGGCGGAAAATGATGAGGCTCTGCGCCGGTTATCGTCATCGTCACCAAAGGGTACAACTGTGCTGTGTCGTGCGCCAAACGCGCGGAAACGAATTCTCAACCTCTACCTTCCGTTGAGAAGTACGGTAAGGACACCCTCTTCACCATCCTGCCTCTCCCTCTCCCTAGTGATCGGTTCACGTTCTGCTCCGGCTCCGTTTCGCAATCACTTGTCAGTAGCACCTGAAGATGCAACACGACAGTTTGACAGGCTCCGCGATATTCTGCTGCAATTCCATGTATACGTGTATTCATGACTGTACACACATTCATGTTTAAGATATATAAATAGATATATATGTAAGGCAAGAGAAAACGCACTTATGTCAGACTTGAATATAAACCTTGATTAAAAAAGATAAGACGGAAGATAATAAGATATGCGTTGATTAAGGTTTGTAGATCCATAGACATTCACACTTCATTGTACCACAAGCTTCTGTGTTTTTGCATGTAGTATATATTTTTAGGTATGACAGATGGATACGAGTGTGTTAAACGAAATTCGATTAAGTAGGATGAAGCTATAGATATCTTGGTTTATGGGTTTTCTATTGTAACAAGTATATAATCAAAAGAAGAGATTTTTATTTTCTACTCAAAAGACCAATTTTCCAATCAAAATTTTTAAAGTAACTTTAATAGTTTCTTTAATCTTTTTAATCTTTCTTTTAATTTTAAGATTAGAATAAACATCAAGATTGAAATTAATGGATATTGGTAGAAATGAATATAAAAAATGTAAAATATAAAAGTACAATAAAGAATTATATGATAATAAAATAAAATATTTATATATTAATGAGGCTTATAAAAAGATTTAGATTAATTGTGTTTATACAAGAAAATATATATTATTAATAGGAAATTCAATAGAAAGACTATATATAATCTTGATAATTTACATATATGAATATTTTAAAAACTTCTTCAGAAGATTTCTTTAATTGCAGGCAAGATATGACGGATGATGCTAAGTACGTAGTGATACCTCTTCACCATCGGCCTGATTTGATCAAAGACTGTTGTAAGTTACTTAATTCTGAATGGCCTCGAAGCGAAACTGCACGGTGTGTTATTTTTCTCCTTGGTCTCAAAAAATGGTCTGAAAAGGTAACAAAGATCACATTAACTAACAGTTTTTATGTCATTATATTGTAGAATGAAATCTCTAAACGTATCCTGCGACAGTTTTCCCACATGTTTAGTTTTGATTAATGACAAGGACAGGGTTCTTGGACACTGTAAAATATCTCTGGTGGCTAAGTCAAAAGTTAGTTGCTTCATTGAGTCTGGTAAGTAGAAACAGAAATGAGTATCTTGCTTTAGTATACGTGTATACGATAATAGGATAAACAAATGGCTTAATCGATTTAAAGCACATGGAAATAAGTTAAATATGTTATGATAAACGTATATGTAACCAAAGATGTTATATATCTGCAATGTTTTAGTTGTAATCGACTATCGGTATAGATCTCAAGGATTAGGATCTAGATTGTTACGCGGCGTGGAGGAATACGTTGCGAGAAGGGGCCTGAAGAACATCTATTTAAAAACAGATGGTCAGGAGGTGTTTTACTACAAGAACGGATATAAGGTGTGCGATCCGTTCAAAGCATATGGCATTAATGACATCATAACCGCCAGTCCACCACTCGGCAGAACCAAATTCAAGGAACGAAATGGCGATCAATCCGCAGGACAACCGCTACCGCCGCCGCCACCTCCGATGCCGTCATTTCAATTGTCAAAGTTTTTCGACATGAGAATGTTATCCCAAAAGACGCACATGGTAAAGAAATTGTGATACTAGTATTACATTTAAATTTCATTTCTTATGCATTTTTTGCATGAATCGAGGCCAACGAACGTTCATGTCGATTAAAATTAGACGCTTAAAAGAAAAGAAATGAATAGTACTACTAAGTAAAATTAAACGAGAGCAGACTAGAATAATATTTAGCATATCGCGCTTTAAAAAGGATTTAAGCCCTCTTTAGGAAATCATATTCATTAGTACATATCGATTATGTAAATAATTTTTAGGAACATGAAATCATTCACGAATGAATGTGCATTTGATTTTTCTGTTCAATCGCATAATGTGATTGAATGCTAAATACTTCAAATTCTATGCTTACTATAAGTTAAAAAATAGAATTATTTTTTTAACTTTATAATATAGCTATTTTTATAATTTTAATTTATGAAGAATTAATAGGCAGGTTTATCATCAGCTTGTTAGTACAATTTTTCTCGTCAAACTATATTTATTTATTTCTTTATCTGTTTATCTGAAATATTCTTTATCTGTTTGTTGTCTTCCAGCAACAAAACCTAATGCGCTTAATATACTCATTTTCCATCTAGCTCGTACAATTCGAATCAATTACATAAATGTTAATCTTATTGAACGTGATAACAATTTACATAAATATACATATCTATTTTTTCATTAGAAAAAAATGCACGCATCTTATTTACATATCCCTACATATTCCTCCTCATGATGTGGTCGCAATGCCGCAAACTTTTTGGTAATAATCGGGATTATCGAGACATTCGACAAGGAACGCTCCCAAATCGTGTTTGGAGATTGCCCGTCCAGGTGAAGAATCGAACGTAATAGTGTACTTGGACTTTGGTGTGTCTGGAAAGCATAAAACTCATGAAAATTCTCGAGAATGCATCGTTATTTGACATCATCTATGCATACCTGCAATGTGTGGAGGCAATATTGCTACCCACTTTAAGCCACTCATTTTGATCATATCAAACATGCGCTGATGATCTGCATTCAAGTCCTTGAATATAGCAGGCACTGCTTCAGGTTTGTAGAATAAAAACGCTGAAAATTTAGGTAGTAATAGATATCAGTGGAGAAACATATAAAATTAACTAGAAACTTTTCCAAATATATCAGAGATATTTTTCTCTTCAACTAATCTTGTGCAAAATTATACATAGAACATTTCTAGTATAATTAATAGTTTTAGAATATATATTCAGAATCTTTGTTTTTATAATATATTATAGTTACCAGATAGACATACAGAGATCCGCTCAACATTATGTGCTTTCATGGCGTCTATTATATTTTTCAAACCTTGAGATAGCACCGTAGTTGGGTCTTAAAATAGTGTAAAATAAATAAATGCAGCAGATAATTATAAAACAACAAGAAGTATACATGTATATAAATTAAAAAAGATATATCAATATATGCTGCTTACTCAAGTCATTTCTAGTTCCAAGTGCTACCACGACAGCATCTCTATCAGCTACTGCATCTGCAACCTGTTTTGCATTGATAACATCTCCAACGACTGATTCAACTTTATTTTTAATATCATCAGGAATTTTGGCCTTATCTCTCACGTAAGCTCTTACATCCAGACCTAAATAACAGATAAAAACAATCAAAATACTGATCATGACACATTGCAGATAAAAAATTAATGTTATGCAAAATTACAAAAACCATATATACAATTCATATATTACATATATGACGTATATTCATATATTACAAAATATTTATTTTGAATACGAAAAGGAATATTAATTGTCATCATTTTATTTTATTTAGTCATGATTTTAATCAATTGTACTTTATTGTATCATTCTAAACATTCCAATTTTATTTCTTAAAGAAACTGATTAGCTATTTAATAATTATAAAATTTTACACTGGTCACGAATATGTATATATTTTTATATTTTTGCAACAAATTTAAACATATTCCACAATTAACGTTTGTAATGACGTTTAGAATTTGCTATTAAACAAAATTATTTCTCATAAAACATTGATAGATTCATAGATCATTATCTAATTTCAAAATAAATATGCATAATTTGCTATCTTACAAATTCCAAATTATTAATTAAATCAATTACATTGATCTTTCTAAATCTTCATTATCAAATTACAAAACGAAAAACTCTGAAACAAAATTCGTTTTTTTGTAGCTGAACTTTTTGTTTCTTGTCTCCTTTTCTCCTTTTCTCTCTAACGTTCAATCATATATTTGTTTCATTCTAAGCAGACGACATAACGTAGTACAAAGAATGGAACTTACGCACAACTTGCGGCGTTATTAGTGAATCAAACTTAAAAAAAAATGCGTAATAGGCAAGCATGAATGAAGAAGCGTGATCGGGAATTTACCATTTTCCACAGCAGCTCTCAAGGAGCAGAGACCCGTGTTCCCCGTTGCTCCGAATATCACAACTCGCTTTCCCATCTCGTGCCAATCTACGATGTGCGTTATCGCGTTGCCGCGCGATTATATCTGTTTTGCCCAGGCGGGTAATGACGAATCATTTTCCTTTTTTTTCGCGAGCGCCGGGGAGAGTAGATGACGTCACGAGCGGACAAGCGAGCGAGCGCGCTAATTGCATTGATAACGATATGATAGCACACGCAGATAAATTGTTTTTTTAGTATCGTTCGTTTATTTACGATACTGATTTATCGGATAATAAATTCACATTTCCCCAATTACGTGCCATGTTTTTTTCAGACGCACCGTTCAGACACTGCTGTAATGAAATATTAAAAATATATATTACTTTGTATTTTTTATTATTAATTAATTTATTTTATTTTATTATTAATTTATTCATTAATGAAATATTTTTTAAATATATATGATAATTTTATGTCAAAACAATTTTCTTTTATTCTTCTTTCATTTAAATTATACTTTTTGTATTTAAAACGAGATAGATGAAAAATGCAACAAATTTAATTACTAAGAATAAATTTTATGTTCTTAATTATAAAATTTTATTAGCTTGCATTAGCTTATGTTAGTTAATATAAAATTTATTTTTTGTGACTCTCGCTTTAATGCTCATTATATATATATAAAATTAGACATTGTTTTAAATATAAAAAAAACACCAGTTGCATAATCATGATAATCATGAAATGATTTCTAAAGTCTATTCAGATAATTTGCATAAACGCATAATGGCATAATGGCATAATAGTTATATACAAAAAATTAACCAATCACATGAAGTATGCTACTGTTTCTTTTTTCATAACATAAACTCTGATTAATTTTTTGTACATTATACGCCTAAGCAAATTTGTTTGCATATAACATTTGTTTGCATTTGATTTTTTTTGAAATAGAAATAATAAATAACAAATAACACAATTCAATAAGAACAACGAATTAAAACATCCATTTCTCCTTTAGAACGCAGCTTTAAATCTTGTGTCCACGATAGAAAATCGATTCGAGATTTCAAACGAGAAAGAATTGACCAATTGTAGTGGCTATTTCAGCCGATCAATATGATTGGTGAATTTTTGTACGATCGAAATATCGGATTGATTTCTAGTATCGCGAACCAGGCTTAGGATGGCGTTTTTAAACACAGCCGCAAAGAAGAATCCCCAATGAAGCAGATTTTCTATTCGAATATAGAAATGTATCTCAAAGTTTCTCGGAAGGAAGCCCTCCCATTGGGCGAGCCGATCATTCGATGGATTGGGGAAGGAGGGGAAGAGGCTCGAATCGCCGATCTCGCCGCGACTTCATCCGTCTATTCACGATCCGCGCCGGCGCTCGTGTAATCGCGCGCGCGCACACGCCGCACAAGCCGCCATTTTGTCACGTTTATTTCTACGCGCATCCCCCACCAGGATTGAAAACAACCGAAGGTCGACGCTGCTGGCCGCGATCGCGGGGACCTTCGCACACATTTTGGTTAGGTTATTGGCTGCGTCGTCACGTCCGGGGACCCCGAAACAGTAAGTAGCATCGTGCGTGCGGCCGTCGCGTTTTGTTCGCACGTTCGCATCCACGCGCCGGTTCACGCTCGGCATGCCGTCCGCGCGGCGACGCCGCGCCTCCGCTCGGGATCCGCGCGCGCGTATGTATGTGTGATGTGTGTGTGTGTGTGTGTGTATATATATATATATATATGTGTGCTTCATCTAAGGAGGGAGAAAAGAGAGAGAGTGAAATAGATAGATTAACGCGTGAGAAAGAAAGCTCCATCCGTCCTGAAGGCGAAAGGTGGCTTCCTTCGGGACGGGTCATCTCGCGATCGGGTGGCTTTGTCATCCGGGTACCGTCGTCGTCATTGCCGCCGCCACTAGTCATCGTCGTCGCCGTCGCTGCTACCGTCGCCGCTATCGTCGCCGTTGCCGCGCCATTCGGCACTCCGGCGTCGCGACGCCACCATCGTACTCTGTCGACGCCACGTCCCCGAGGACGCGATACGTCTCACTTTCTCTATAACCTCCAACGTTATAACCTATATAATTATAACCTCAGGCTCACCCGCGTCGGAGACGCAGCGCGGCCGAATTCGGGCCGATCGCGCCGCTGCGGTCGATGCGATTATCGTTTGTCCCGCAACGACGATGACGACGGACGGCGCAGGAGGGAGAGAGATTGGCCGCCTATAATGATAATTATTCGTCGTGGTGTTCAGCTCGTTCGGCGTACCGCTCGTGAATCGGTTCGAGATGAATCGCCGTGTTCTCGCGCCTTGAGGAACGAACGTGACCGCGAAACGACGCATGCGACTTTTCGACGACGGCCCGCCGCGTGATGTAATCTCGGATCCGCGAAGGATCATTCGCGTGCGCGTGTAATAAACTCGATCCTGAGACCGATCATCGGGGACATTCCCGTTTTAGCAATGTCGGACATTCGCGCGATAAGAACGTCTGATTCGCTCGCAAACATCGAACGATAGACAAATTGTCGTGGATGTCTCATTAACGTGTGAATTCACGAGATTTCACAACTCAGCTACACGAGCTTGTCTATTAATCTCGTATACTGCAGTGATTTCAGTGATCAAGTAGTTTAAAAGCTGTACAAGATGGACGTCACTGGGGATCTAAACTTACAATGGGTGGGAGATGTGGAGCTTCACGAGGAGGTGATATGCGGCCTAGAAGCTCAGCTGGTCGCATCGGAGGAGGAGGTGATTGGCGCCTGCGAGGAGGTCGCAGTGGAAGAAACTGTCGAATCCATCCCTGATGTGGTACCTACTACCGAGTCAGAGATACTGATGGTGCCACAATCAAATGACATGGAATCGATTTATATTGTGCCTCAAGATCAGGGGCACGATTATTTAAATATACAGGTCACTGAAGAAGTGATAGCTGATAATTGGGACAGACCTGGTACAGATGATGGGTTAGTCATCAATAAATATAGTAAATTTTTCTAACAATTTTGGATTTATTTTAACTTTTTATTATTTCAATTTGTGAAAATTTGTTTTTGTATGTTCTTATCTCTGCAAGAATAAAAAAAAAATTATTTTTGATTCTTTCAAAGCTTGTATATTACGTAACAATTTCTGTTAAAGGGTCGAGATTCCAGAAACAAAAGTGACACATGATAATCTGTTAGAATATGATGACATGGAGATACCATTGCCGATCGATCAAGATTCGTATCAGAACGCCCGACCATATCCGTGCGATTTCTGCAGTCGTAGGTTCCGGAAGAAGGCAAATCTGATGAACCACATTGTGGCGCATCAGACAGACCGACCATATGGCTGCAATCTATGTGGGGTTCGTTATATGCGTAAGTGTGATCTGAACAATCACTTAAAGGTCCACGCATATGCACCACCATCGCAGGATGGTCTTGAAGATGATCTGAACGACGAGGATTCGCTAATGGCTGAAGAAGAGGATGTATCTACAACTGGCAACAAGGGTAGACGTAAGAAGGTGCAATCGAGTGCGCCGCGCAAGCGGAAGAGCAATGCTGCTGCCAATGTATCAAAACGCAACACCGAGGACATCAAGATCGAGATGGGCAAGTATGTGTACAAACCATACGATGACTACAAGGATACGCTATTACTGTACGAAGACGAGCTGACGAACAATTATTCTGCACATAGTGGCAATTATGCGTCTAGCTCGAGGTGGCAAATGGAGGAGATATCTGTCACTGGCAGGCAACAGACGCAACAGTGGCCCATTACTGATCCGACAAAGCCTTATGTTTGTCAAACATGTGGCATTGGATTTGCTAGAGAGAAGGCACTGGCTTCGCATGCACGCATTCACGGTGGTGATAGTCCGTTCGAATGTACTTCGTGCAGCGAAATGTTCTGGGACGTCAACAGTCTGCGGGAACATGTACGCGTCAAACACGGCGGCACCATACCCCAGCAGACATCTGACGCCGAGGAATATGACAATGACGCCACTTACACAGGCGACAGCGAGAGAGTCGGCGAGTTCTATTGCAATACTTGTGCGGTACCATTTCATCGTTTGGATCTACTTAAACGCCATCAAAAGTAAGATAGTTTTAAAAAGGAAATTTGCACAAAATATTTTAGAACTATCATTTGTTTTGGTGAATGCAAAACATTCGATTACAGAATTTAAAAAGATTTTTTTTATAATATTGATAATTTTTGAAATATCAATAATTGGAGATTTCTAATGTTATTTTGTAATAATTTGAATCTGATTCTCTTTTAAAATTAAAAAATATCCAAATGACATGCAAATATAGCATATAGATATACATATAGATATTAAAATATTTTAATTACACATATAAAATTATAAATATACATAGAAACAAGCTTTTGAAAAATATTTTTTAATACACTATATGCATGTATGTATAATAAATATTGCATTGATAATAGTCTTTACTACTAATAGTTAAAGAAAATATAATTAATCGTGTATAGTTCACTATAGCTAAAATGTTAATGACGTAATTATTAATTGTATATATAATTTTAATTTTTTAATATATAATTTATATTAATTTTTTTATTTATTAATAATAAGTATTACAAGTTTCAATATTGAAAATTTGTCTATATAAAATTTAATATCTTATATAGAATTCACATAAAACCGGAGATGGATACAATGGAAAGTTCCAGTCAACATCACATGTGCAATGTTTGCGGAGAAGAATTCGAGGAAGCTCTAGCATTGTTGGCACACGCGGAACTTCATGCTTCAAGGTATTATTGTACTCATAACTTTCATTCATTTCAGCAGCTTAATTTCAATTTCCGTGGCGATTGATATATCAGCGGAATCAATAATTCATTTTCACTATTAGCCATGTTTTGTCAACATGATTGAGTTGTGTTATCTTATTGACAAGAAACATATTACAATATCGAACGCGTGAAGCGTATAATATTGAATGCACAGAGCGACTTTGTGCATATCGAATGAAATCTACAATACATGTTTATTCGATAATTTTATTTATTTATTTTATAAATCAAGATCTCCTAGTCGTTGTTGTCTACTATGTGGGGCGAGATGTCGCGACGAAGCAGAAGTTGCAGATCACCTACGACAAAATCATCAAGACGCACCGCCGAACACGTGTACAATGTGCGGAAAAACCTGCAAGGACAAACGCAGTTTAGTGAAGCACTTGTGGATACACAATGTTGACAAGACTTTTGTTTGTACAAAGTGTGGAAAACGTTTCCATAGTAAAGCTAGATTACGAAGGTATGAATTAAATAGTACAACAAAATTCGATTTCTTTTACACATATTGTATGCGGTATAATAATATGATCAAAACATATTAGAATATTTATTTGGGTTTTTTTTACTTTTTTTATTGAAATGTACTATGTATAACTTTTTGTAATTTTTCCATTTAATTGGGAATATATCGCTATATTACAGACATATGGTATCACATCGCAACAAGATGGTAGCTTGCGATGAATGCGGCGAAGAATTTCCCGATGGACGAGCTCTGGTGAGCCATCGTCATTCCCATAACAGGGAGTTAGGCGGTCGATCTTTCCCGTGTCGCGAATGTGGGAAAACTTTCGGTAGTCGTAGTTCTCAGCAAATTCATATACGTATTCATACCGGCGAAAGACCCTATGGTTGTCGATTTTGTTGGAAAGCTTTCGCAGATGGTGGTACTCTGAGAAAACACGAGCGCATTCATACCGGCGAGAAACCATATGGATGCGCGATCTGTCCTCGGGCGTTCAATCAAAGAGTAAGTAGATTATCGGGATGAAAGTCCAAACAGAAAACGCACCCTTTTTTTTATAAAAAAAAAATAAAGTAGAAAAGTTCTATAAATATCTTGTTTTATCTTTTAATATAATATTAATGGTTTAAATAATTATTAATGGTTTATATAATTATTATCTCAAAATAACTCGTTTTCTTCCAAGTAGAATAATTAAATTTTTTTTTCTCGCAGGTCGTACTCCGAGAACATGTGCGCGCTCATCATTCTGGTCCAGATCCGAAATGTGTGGGTAGCGCAACGCCGTACTTGTGTAAGGTGTGTGGCATGTCATGTGGCACATCTGAAGAAATAGTGGCACATATAGTGCAACACTGCGATGACAATACTGCATTAAAACGTCAACCACAGTCTGGACCGCGCAAATACAAGAGAAGACGCAAGACGAAGCCTCTTGAGACGAATACAGTGGTACGCAGAAATGAGTTTGGGTTTGACATTATGGAAAATAGTGGAGGTATCACTGGTGGTGCTATTGTTAGTAATACCAGTGGTATTGGCGGTAGTAGTGGTGTCGGTGGAGGTGGTACTGCCACTGGTGGCTCGGACTCGGAAGATAACACAAAGCGGAAACTTGGCAAGAAGAACAAGCAACGATCGAATGTCGAAGAGGGCTATCAGAATGTACTGAAAAGCTTTGAGAGTTCTCTACAGAACATAAACTCGATTGTGAGCAACTCCAAATTGAATGCATCCAAGTCGAAACTTTCGAAGAAGAAATTACGCAAGGAAGAAAAGAAACAGGAAGCACAAGCATCAAACCAATCAGGTCGGCCAAAAATGATTCATACACAGAAGACACGTGTACCAGTGGAAGTGGGCAGCGATGGCGCGAAGAAGGGTCAAAAGACCAAGACTATGGTGACGCGGACGCCGAAAGTCATGCCGAACGAGCACAAGTCCGGCATTTTTCCAGGTGGCGAACGGAATCGACCTCGCACAAAAAATGTCAGTTATCATATTGAAGGTAAATCACAACTTACGCCAGCGATGTTCCCGACAAAATCGACAAAGGAAGATACGATGTCGGCACAACAACAATTATTAACGAATATTAAACAAGAACCAAGTATGCCGAAAACCGCCGATAGTCACAGGAACAATAATGGTAATATCCTTGCTCTCGGCAAAAGTCAAGAGTCAAGCAAGAAGAAATCAACGACTAATTTAAAGAGAACCAGGAGGCAGAGACATACGATAGTGAAGCAGGAATTAAACACGTCGATTATGCCAGATGTACAAGAGCAACAGCAGGAGCAATTACAATTACGTAATAATAATAACAATAATAATACCATGGAGGACAGTAACGACCAGGTGCGATTGATGGAGCATGCGGTGGATGGCAGCAACTTAGAAGTTGCCTTTGAAGCAAGCGTTATTACCGCTCAAGACGAAGATGAAGAAGAAAGCATATTGCCACACGACGCTATACAGGAGATGAGCAATGGGGACAACAATGTTAAGCTTAGTGTCAAGGTGGAATCCGCACCGCAAAGCAGGATGCTCGCCGTACACAGTGTCATCGCTCCGGTGGACGATGTTCCGGAAACGATAATACCGGACAGGATTGAATACACATGCGAGATGTGCGCCGCGGTATTCTCCAGCCGTGCCGAATTACTGGTACATGTACCAATACACATTTGATTTAATAATTTGTCCGAGCCGATGAGCGGCGCGGAGGTTTGTTCTACTTCTTTAAGCATACTTCTTGTTTAATTGAATCGCATAGTTTATCACGGATGAAGTTTGTTGTTTTACAGGAGGCAACGATCGTTGAGTCCCCTCCACCCATCAACATTATTGCTATTTTCATCGCTCACTCTTTCTCTTCTTTTCTCGATACTTTCCGTGTTCTCAGATTCTCTATTAAACATCACAATTTCATTAACTATTTGTAGCTCTATTAGACACACTCAGATTTTCATGTTACTTGTATTAAAGAATTTGTTGGCCGTCTTTTAGTTCAATTAGCATCATGCGGGAATTCTTTGTATTATATCATGACTCGAGTTTCACCTTTTTCTGACATTTGAAATATATATGAATATGTTTGAATATGAATGAATGAAACTATTAATGTGTGTGATAGATCAGAAATTTACAATGTTCTATACTATGATATATATGTATATATACATTAATATATACAATTGTATATATTACACATATGTATGTATATATCGTAGTATATGTATTTATCATAATTATATAATATATAAATGAAAACTTTTATTTTATATTGCACCCGAAGCGCGCGGTTCATTACTGCGTCCCTTTTGTACCGTTCGAAATCTGATCTAGAATTTGTATTAATAATGATGAAACGTGATACAAATGGCGAAATCGTAGTTTTACAATTTTCTACTTAGAGAAGTACTACGACACGCGCTTGATTGAAGAATAAGATATAAGGTAAATACGATAAACCGTATAATTTTTTTATATTCAATTCAGTGTAAAAATAAAATGGAAAAAGGGGTTCTAAACATGCGAGTGTGCTTCGTAATTACGTTTTAAAATATAATTACTTATTCTCGTAATTCTTATTTGATTTGTGGAATTTCTCTTTTGCTTCTTTGAATTAATTGAACAAAGGCACGGAGTGTTGAATTATCACAAGCGATTTTTATTTTAACACTTTCGATCAATAGCGTTTACGGCTTTTGCAGTGGATCTCGATTCGGATTATGTCATCATGCATTTCATTGCGAGATGGACGTAGAATACGAACGAAAGGATGCTTGGAAAAAAGAATAAACAAAATACTATGCACTATGACAGTATTAATTCAAATCAAAATCCACTGTAATCAGAAACGCTATAAGATTATGCCTGTGTGTGTCGTGAAATCTTTATTTGTAACAAAAAGTATATATTTGTTATTCTATTAATCCAATTTTTGTTACTTTGGAAAAAAGAAGAGTAAAATTTAATTCAAGAGAATATTTGCGACGAGAAAAGGGATGTTAAAATAAATATATTTCAATATAATATTGAGACGATATGTAAATGCATGAAATATTGAATTTATTATGATGATTTGTAAGAATCATTAAAGATTTCGACAATTAAAAAAAAAGCTTAACAGAATAACTGTACAGCATTGTACGTAGGATATATTTTGTGTAAATGTCAATTTCTACTTGTAATACGCAATTTTAGTATATGTTTCGGCAGTGACTGTATAGTCATCTCGTTGGAATCAGTTTATTGAATGAAATATGACTCTGCACATTAATGCACAATTATGATATTATTGTACGTACAATTTTATGAACAAAGAAAGAGAAAGAAAACAAAATTAGTTCTGATTTAAGCACTTTTTCCATAATTAAGTAATTGCAATGCACCTATTTCATAAAATGAATTTTCGTTGGATCTGACAAATATTTTACAAAATTAATGACTTCATATTTTTAAATATATATATATATATATTTA